AACAAGACAGCATGCTGTAGTAACACTATAACTAGACAGCATGCTGTAGTAACACTATAACTAGACAGCATGCTGTAGTAACACTATAACTAGACAGCATGCTGTAGTAACACTGCTGTAGTAACACTATAACTAGACAGCATGCTGTAGTAACACTATAACAAGACAGCATGCTGTAGTAACACTATAACTAGACAACATGCTGTAGTAACACTACTGTAGTAACACTATAACTAGACAGCATGCTGTAGTAACACTATAACAAGACAGCATGCTGTAGTAACACTATAACTAGACAGCAAGCTGTAATAACACTAACCGTTGAGGCTAGATTATATACTGGTATTGTAGTAACTCTGCAGCTAGATTACGGATTATTCTTGAGTTTAATTATAACTACTTGGGAGATAATGTTTTTAAATTGGAGTTTTCAGTCTTAATGACACCTACACGTGTACGTGGATTTGGTTGAGTACTTCAAGATGGCCGCTACTAATTTTGAACTACTGAAAAAAGTGGAGGCAGCCAACCAAGAGCACGCGCCACCATACGTGCTCCGTCCGACTCTTTAAGCGGAATAATGGTTTTAACTGTCATTTATATAACGCAGTCATAGTCGAGACTGCTGAGCACGTTCAGCGGAATCTTGTCTCAAACTCTGGACCCTCGAAACGCAGCCTGATACGCTAACCACCAGGTTAAGAGTCCGTGATACCTTAACATATTACAATCCCTTTCTGTGCATTTCTATTAAAATCGGTTCAGGCTGAAAGACCGAGCTCTAGAACACTAGGGTTTTATTTCTGCGTTACAACAGTTTAAACGACCTTTATTAACTTAGCTATGTGTTCTTCTGTAATGTACCGAACAAAGGTAACCATTGAATGTCAGCAAATTATTCCAAAGATTTAAAACAGTTATAAGAAATAATGCAGCATTTCACAGAGCTAACTCAACATCACCAGTCCTGATGATGGTTGTGGCTGCGAATCTGAGTTTAGAGTTAGAACTTATTAGGCCTGGTGATGATTGTAGTCTAAGAAGCTAGGTTAAACAGAATTAACTCAACATCATCATCAAGCCTGATGGTGGTCGTGACTGCGAAGCTGAGTTAGAGTTAAAACTTATTAGGCCTGGTGATGATTGTAGTCTAAGAAGCTGGGTTAAACAGAATTAACTCAACATCATCAGTCCTGATGATGACTGTAGTCTAAGAAGCTGGGTTAAACAGAATTAACTCAACATCACCAGTCCTGATGATGACTGTAGTCTAAGAAGCTGGGTTAAACAGAATTAACTCAACATCACCAGGCCTGGTGATGACTGTACTCTAAGAAGCTGGGTTAAACAGAATTAACTCAACATCATCAGGCCTGATGATGTGTGTAGCTTATGAAGCTATCGATGTTTATTCAACGAAATCTTCAAACGTTCTTCTTTTCTTGGTGATTTTAATTATTCTACTTAATTGGACAGCTCGTACGTTTTAACTTTAACGGGAACTTAATTAATCTCAGAGCCAGACTACTTAACATATTCTGTCTCAATGATTTGTTTGTTTGAAGTTAAGCACAAAGCTACATAATGGGCTATCTGTGCTCTGCCCACCGCGTTATCGAAACCCGGATTCTAGCGTTGTAAGTCCGCAGACATACCGCTGTGCCACAGGTGGGGGGGGGGGGTCATGTCTCAATGGACACAAACAACAATAGTAATAATTCAGAAATAAGACAGAAAGAGAAACCACAAATCTGAGCCAGTAACTAATGGTATGTTATGATGGTGTTTACATCTCTAAATTGAAAAACCGCTATTCATATTGTTGAAATTTTTTCTCTGAACTACGTAACTAAGATTTTAAATGACTTGTTTAAGACGAGTGGTGCCACTAAAAAACACATGGGGCCTTTGGATTTGGTTTGGTGTGTTTGGAAATTCGCGCAAAGCTACACGAGGGATATTATCTGCGCTAGCCGTCCCTAATTTAGCATTGAAATACTAGAGTCATCACCACTCACCGCCAACTCTGGGGGCTACTCTTTTACCAACAAATAACAGGATTGGCCGTCAAATTATTACGCCCCCCACGGCTGAAAGGGCTAGCTTGTTTGATGGAACGGGGATTCGAACCAGCGACCATCAGATTGCGAGTCGAGCACCCTAACAACCGTGGAGCAAAATTAGATTTGGGGCCTATGAATTTGATCCGGCCAGTCAGGTAGAGGGTCGCGCTCGTGACTAAGACAACAAAAGTGGACAAAGTTAACAATACAACTTTATTACACGTTTTATCGCGAGCCTGGTGGCCTAGCGGAGAGGGCTCATAACACTAAAAATCGGGTTCCGATACCTGCAGTGTATCTTTGTGTTTAACAACAAACAAACAAAGCTTTATCGTGACAACGTTAAACTCAATGAAACGTGTTTTGTTTTACTTCCATCTCAGTATTGCTGATATAGATACGTATCTGAATAACGGAGTTTCGACACAAAATGTTGTGTATAAAATTTCTTTACGCCCATTTTCATTGAATGTTTTCCTGGTGGGAGTAACTGCTTCATTGAAACTATTGAATTACGAACGGAGTTCTGTAATAAAATATGTGAAGATATAAAAACACCAGCTTGTGCGTTTAAATCAAAGACGTTGTGTTTTAAGATAAAAAAAACAAACAAACAGTTCTACAGTAAGTGTACACGTACTTTTGGATTTCCTTTTCAGCTTCAACAAGTGGTTCTAAATGGCGACTTGCCATGTTCCAAAGAAGAGGCGGCAGTTCTGGCAGGAATCCAGCTTCGAATAGAAGAAACGTGGCCGTCTGAAGAGATACTGAAACCACTGAACGAAGATGTTAAGGTACGTGTTGCAATAGACTGGACAATATTCTGGTTGCAGGTTTTACTGTGGTACTAATATTTGTATGTTAAAGAACGTGTTTCAACAGACTGGACAATATTCTGGTTGCAGGTTTTACTGTGGTACTAATATTTGTATGTTAAAGAACGTGTTTCAACAGAGTGACCAATATTCTAGGTTGCAGGTTTTACTGTGGTAGTAACATTTGTATGTTAAAGAACGTATTGCAACAGACTGGAAAATATTCTGGTTGCAGGTTTGACTGTGGTACTAATATTTGTATGTTAAAGAACGTGTTTCAACAGACTGGACAATATTCTGGTTGCAGGTTTTACTGTGGTAGTAACGTGTTTCAACAGACTGGACAATATTCTGGTTGCAGGTTTTACTGTGGTACTAATATTTGTATGTTAAAGAACGTGTTTCAACAGAGTGGTCAACATTGTGCGTTACTTGTGTTCTTAGTTCACTTATTTTGTAGGTATGAATTGTCTTATTTTCTGGGGAAATGGTTCATATAATATGTGTAGTTCTCTAAAATATTGTTATGTTATCATTGTTATGTTATGTATTGTCTTATTTTCTGGGGAAATGGTTCATATAATATGTGTAGTTCTCTAAAATATTGTTATGTTATCATTATTCGTAGCTCATAGGCCCCAGCATGGCCAGGTGGTTAGGGAGCTCGACTCGCAATCTGCGGGTCGCGGGTTCGAATCCCCGTCCCACCAAACATGCTCGCCCTTTCAGCCGTGGGGGCGTTATAATATGACGGTCAATCCCACTATTCGTTGGTAAAAGAGTAGCCCAAGAGTTGGCGGTGGGTGGTGATGTCTAGCTGCCTTCCCTCTAGTCTTGCACTGTTAAATTAGGGACGGCTAGTGCAGATATCCCTCGTGTAGCTTTGCGCGAAATTCAAAACAAACAAACAATCAATCGTAGCTCATTAGTTTACATAAGTAACCTGAATAAATTGCTTCCTAAGTTTCAACAATTAAATTACACGTATAATTCAAAGCCATTAAGACTTCAATCACTCAATAATTTTACAAAGCTATACTATGTTTGTTGAATTTCTTTTATAATTATTTTCTGTTTTACTTCTTTAAGATTAGAAAAAAAAACATGAAATGTGAGTTCAAAACAACAAGTTGAAACTAATATTTTAATGTACATGCATTTTTCATAATTGTTTTATCTATTTAGGCTTAGGAAAACATAAAGCAAGGGCTTGAATGTAACCAAATTGACTTTTACAATGAAGATTATTTTTCACCATTTTAATTTAGTTCTGGAAAGGAAGACAGGAATCAAAACTAATCGCCTCTTCATTTATTTGACTTTTTAACGTTTCTTATGAACAGATATCAGAGATAATAAGTGAATATCTAATTAAATTTCTACTAAAGCGTAGACACTGTTGTATGTTATTTCATTATTATAATACTATAGAAGGTAACTTCAGGAGTGCTTTGTGGCAGCTTTCAATGGTAGAATATTAAAGAAAGCTCAGTGTACCGATACACTGCCATCTTACTGTGGTGTTATTCGTCCTTCTTCGGGGTCGGATTACTCCACTAGTGCTGGTGTTCAGTTACCACCATATATTATATTTCATCTTTTCACTTACGTTTTATGAAATGCACAAACTATCATTTCCGATCATGGTCTTATGGTATCCCATAAGAAACGTTTAGCTTAAATAACAACAGTGATTTAACTTTAGAGAACATGTACAGGAGTTGCATTTCGAAGTGTATTTTGTAACCTAGGAGTAATCTTTTCCAAAAAACCAGGTTACAAAATACACTTCGAAATTAGGATGTTTTTTTTAGAAAAGATTACATTTCGAAGTGTATTTTGTAACCTAGGATGGTTTTTGGAAAAGATTACATTTCGAAGTGTATTTTGTAACCTAGGATGGTTTTCCAAAATCTCTAACCCATATGTCTACAAGAGGAATGTGTACAGTAACAACAGTGGAGTCGGAGGATCGAGAAGACCAACATAGTAACAGGGGGCGACTTCTCTTTCACCCTCAATCTAGTCTAACCCTCCTTAAGATTCCAAAGAACAGTTCCATCTTGCGGCAGTTGCTAAGTGCAAACGGCAATAAACCAATGACTACGAGCGCCATCAACCTCCAGGACTGTGTTCCTCCGCTGTATTACTCCACAAAAAATATGGTAAAATCAATAAAGGTAAGAGTTATTTTGTATTTGGATACTGACGAATGATCGGTTTGCTAAAGACTGTATGTTAGTTTTTCTAAAAAAATGAGTTTCTAAGAATAGATATTAGGCTTAGTGCGCCTCAAAGTTTCCCATGATCAATATTTTATCACAGGTGGCTAAAAAAAACCCAATTTCAAAATATACAAATAAAAAAAAACACTTTATCATTTCAAAGAGATAAATCAACAATGGCTGATCTGAGGTTTCAACTAAACTAACCTCACTCACCTGTTCTGAAATTTTTTCATCTAAAGGAAACGTCACGCCCATGTTCGGAAATATTTCTGTTAAAATAACCTCTCTCCCGTGTTCTGGAATGTTCTAGCTAAAATACGATGTTCTTTTAGAATAGGTTCGTGAAACATCTGGGAACATATGTTTCAAAAGCAGGATAAATCAAAATATTGGGAGTGTAAACAAAAAAATGGACTGAGAAATATTAACCTAGAAGATGTGGCGCAACTGAATATAGTACTTGTTGACCTTTGACATACTAGACCGATATAGACCACGAGTTTGATTACTGATAAATATACATATTATAAAATATTTAATTAAATAGTCTTATAAGCGATTTAGGCTTAATTTCTTTCTTTATAGCTTTTAATTGGTAAAATATGTTTCTCATATTTGCAGAAAGCTACTCAAAGGCTATATGTACTAATTTTGAACTAACAGATTAAAGGAAAGACAGCTAGTCAACAGCACTCATCACCAACTCTTTGGTTCATCTAATCAAATAGTGACATTTGACCTTTACTCCTATTACGCACATAAGAACCCAAAGCGTGACGCGCGAGTTTTCGGCAACAGGAAGCGAACTGCGGACCTCAAATTCACCAGAACATTAATCATTCGCCCACGTTCAGCCCTAAATGGCAACAAATCTAAAATTATCGTAGTAAATGTAACATGCGAAGTTGATATTATAGTGACATTGGTGACAACTTACTGGATCCTTTTCTATAGCAACAAGGCTTAAAGTGACAGAGCCTGATTATACATAACTCATGAAAGAAATTAAGCCTAACAGAGCATGATTATATATATAAAAATTTTTTAATTAACACATCTTATCTTCTTGATCTAAAACAAGTACGTTTTGACTAGTAGATTAACGTTGAGACGAAGTTATATTTCTTATATTTTATTAACATTCTCTTAACTTATGTTCAATATGTCACATTCGCTTGAGGCTTTTGCTAGGCCTAAAAAGAAAGTTAGGCCTACGCGTTTGCACAACATGATATTCGACCACAGTGCTAGATGCACGAATTTCTTCCCTGTAAATAATTTCCATAATAATTGTAAGGCTCCCCAGTGGCACAGCGGTATGTCTGCGGACCTACAACGCTAGAATCCGGGTTTCGATACCCGTGGTGGGCAGAGCACAGATAGCCCATTGTGTAGCTTTGTGCTTAATTAAAAACAAACAAACAAACAATAATTGTAAAGCTAGTTTACCAGCTATACAGCTATCAATTTAAAATAAATATTACATAATACTGCAGTGAGTTATATATTTCTTACTGATTATTTAGTGTTTATGCTAGTGGCCTGACTGTCAGTTACAGATTAAAACATCCACATTTTATATTTCTGTTTCCCAGGAACAGAAAAGACGATTGTTTCACTCTCCTCTTTACGAAAGTGAAATACAGTTGAAGAAACTTTATATCCAGACGTGTAAACGTTTACCTTGTTATGGATGTCAAATGTTCCACGTGAAAGAACTACTGCGCGGGAAAACCAAGAAGAAGGTAGGAAGTAGGCTAAAGTAACGTACTGAGTACATACACGACTAGTTTATCCGAGTACATACACGACTAGTTTATCCTACGTTACAGAAGGAACTGTACACTATATTTATAACGTGAACTGAGTACATACGCGACTAGTTTATCCTACGTTACAGAAGGCACTGTACACTATATTTATAACGTGAACTGAGTACACACACGACTAGTTTATCCTACGTTACAGAAGGAACTGTACACTATATTTATAACGTGAACTGAGTACATACACGACTAGTTTATCCTACGTTACAGAAGGAACTGTACACTATATTTACAACGTGAACTTTCACGTTATAAATATAGTATACAGTTCCTTCTGTAACGTAGGATAAACTAGTCGTGTATGTACTCAGTTCACGTTATAAATATAGTATATAGCTCCTTCTGTAACGTACTATAAAGACCAGTCAGCAACCATAATGTTGGAACCCGATGGGATTACTTACCCATGTCTAGGATCAGATGGGATTACTTATCCAAGTCTAAGATAGTTACACATCAGTTGAAACTACTTACCCATGTCTAGAATCAGATGGGATTACTTACCCAAGTCCAGTTCTTCTCTAGTTGTGATTAGAGTATCGTCCAAGAAGTACGAGTCTATATCTTGCATGATCTCCCACAGTGTGGCGCTAATAGAGCGTAAAGAACCCTGGGACGGGGTAATAAATGACCATTTGGTTGCACGGAATTCAAGCACTAGTCTGTCATGTGACCGCCCTCCTCCAGTTCTCCACTGCTGAAGCTCCGCTGTAAGCTGACACTTGGCTGGAAGAAGTGTTTTACTGTCCAGCAACACTATACGTTCGAATCCTACCCCCAACAGTCTAGTAGCCTATGGAGTGGAAATATGACAGACTCAAACACTCACGTTTTGTTCTTCTTTTACACTATTTTAGCAGGTTAGAACACAGTTTCCACGTGCGGCAGTGATTATCGTAATAGCACGATATAAGAACGAGTGTGTACATTTTTTGAATCCACAGTACTGTTTGTCATAGTGAACGTTATCACAGCAGTAACACTTTATTGTTATCCTAGACATGGGTAAGTAATCCCATCTGATCCTAGACATGGGTAAGTAATCTCATCTGATGTATTGCTATCCTAAACTTGGGTAAGTAGTCTCAACTTATGTGTTGTTATACTAGACTTGGGTAAGTAGTCTCAACTTATGTGTTGTTATACTAGACTTGGGTAACCAGACTCATCTGATCCTAAACTTGGGTAAGTAGTGTCAATTGATATGTTGCTATTCCAGACTTGGGTAAATAGACCCAACTTATGTGTTGCTGTCTTAGACTTGGGTAAGTAGTCTCAACTTATATTTTGCTATCATAGACTTGGATAAGTAAACTCAACTAATGTGTTAATGTTTTAGACTTGGATAAGTAAACTCAACTAATGTGTTAATGTTTTAGACTTGGATAAGTAAACTCAACTAATGTGTTAATGTTTTAGACTTGGATAAGTAAACTCAACTAATGTGTCAATGTTTTAGACTTGGATAAGTAAACTCAACTAGTGGGTAAATGTTTTAGACTTGGATAAGTAAACTCAACTAGTGGGTAAATGTTTTAGACTTGGATAAGTAAACTCAACTAATGTGTTAATGTTTTAGACTTGGATAAGTAAACTCAACTAGTGGGTAAATGTTTTAGACTTGGATAAGTAAACTCAACTAGTGGGTAAATGTTTTAGACTTGGATAAGTAAACTCAACTAGTGGGTAAATGTTTTAGACTTGGATAAGTAAACTCAACTAATGTGTTAATCTTGTCTATAAAATTATATTTTGACATATATCTGAGAAATTAAATTTAAAAAAATTAACGTATTAGTTGATACTTATCTCCTAAGTGACTCATCAGGTGGAGACTATTCAATCAAGTCTAAAACATTAACACACTAGTTGAGTTTACTTATCCAAGTCTAAAACATTAACCCATTAGTTGAGTTTACTTATCCAAGTCTAAAACATTAACACATTAGTTGAGTTTACTTATCCAAGTCTAAAACATTAACACATCAGTTGAGTTTACTTATCCAAGTCTAAAACATTAACACATTAGTTGAGTTTACTTATCCAAGTCTAAAACATTAACACATTAGTTGACTTTACTTATCCAAGTCTAAAACACGAAAAAGGAATAAATTATTATCACATCGTTTGATTATTTGATCAGATTAATTAGCAGCGTTAGAAGGAACAACTTAGATAGGGTTACGACTATTTCTCATGCATCAGAAGTCTGTCCACTTTGTTCACTAACTAGAGCAATCAGCGTGTTTCGACGTTAGTCCTAAGAAACTCAGCCAATCGGAGAAGTTTGGTGTTACATCACGGTCTACAAACCAGCACCGTTTATAAAGAGGAGCTTGACAGGCTTCAGAATTTGTTACATTTTCCTGAAGAAGTGGCGTTACGGTTAACAGAGGTTGAATACGATCTCTTCTACAAAGTACGTCCAGTTCATTACATCCGACACGTTACTGTCGACCTTAGACATCGTCCACCTTCATCATCTTTACACGAATGTACAGTACAGACTCTCACAAAACGATATAACGAGGTGGGTCATTCATTCAGTTTACAACATTTACCTCAATCTGCGTGTTATCACAATAATTGTTTGTATAGAAACTATATCTGTGTTAAAAGGTGTCGGCGATAAACTAGGTAGTATGGGAGATATCGTGAATGTGCAAATGCAACGTAAACAACAGGGAATCCTCAATAGCTGCGGTTTTTAAAATATTTTTAGGCAGTATTAGAGTAAATTGATCCGATACTTTTTTTTCCTTTTTATTATTTATATTTTTGTGCGCCAGCAATACCAAACGTGGGGCACGCGTATACCCGATTCAATGTTATTACTCATCAGAATCTCTACCAGCCTACCGTCAAATTGAAATTATTTTAAGCACGTTAATCTATGAGACCTTGGGCGTGATCAAATAAATCAATCGGAAGGTTTTGACCTCCTGAGTTCAAAACTGTAATTAGATCTCAAATCGGTCAAGAGATGACGGAGCTACGAG